CAGGACTCTACTCTTTGGGTTTTTGGGGGATGTTGCTAACTCCGGGTCCAATAACAGGCACCCCACAGGAAATTTTGGTGAAATTTCAGAGAAATAAAGCACTGAAATGTGCGCTGCTGTTCGGTCTGGTTACTACCGTTTATGTCAGAACCGGATACCCATCCCTAGTAATGTCTCAAACCAGCTGTTATCTTTGTCATATTTTAGCATTTGATTTCTCCGTGCACAAAAGCAACATCTACTATAACACTTCAATGCGTCTCCATTTCTACCTTCTTTCCTCCAGAAATGGCCGTCTACCAGCAGTCCACCCAGGTAGTGAATATCACGACCCCTGATCAAAACCCTGGGCACTGGAGCACTGGTCTCTGTGATTGCTGTGCTGATATGGGCACTTGTAAGTTAATCTAGCAAACTCTACAAACAGTGGTTTTTGTATCAACAGTCTCCTCAGACTTTTATTCAGAGGGTCTTGAGTATCTGATGATCTGAAGTTAGAGGTGAAGTCAGCATATAAAACACAGGATGCACAAACCAGTTGTTGAAGGTGTGTCAGGGTTCCTGGGTCTGTGACCCAGCAGTTTCAGTTTGTTCGTGTTCCAGTTACTTCCATGTACCATTAATCAGATTATGTTCAGCTGTGTACTCAACTGTCTCTCATTATCATCCTCATTAGTCTGTGTATTTAAGTCATCAGTTCTCTCCAGCTCATCGTCTTGTCATTGCCGTCGTCTCTCCTGCATGTGTGCTCTCAGTTCAGCCAGTCTTCCAGTCAGCCATTTCATGTTCTGTTCATCCATTCTGAATAATAAACACCGTCTTCACTCCACCCTAACTCGTGAGTCCTGTGTTTGGGTCCTCTCCTTTCCACATCCACACTGCGATCCCTGACAAGGAGAACTTATTCAAAAGTGAAATAAACTTGTGTCTCTGCATATTTTTTCTCTTCTGTCGAGGTTGCTGTGCCCTTTGGTGTTTCCCCTGCATGCAGTGCGATACAGCCAACAAGCACGGGTGGTGTTGCTGCCTCCCACTCTGTATAAGATAAGATAAGATAAGATAAGATAACCTTTATTAGTCCCACGCGTGGGAAATTTGTTTTGTCACAGCAGGAAGTGGACAGTGCAAAAGTTATGACGCAAAAATTAGAATACAATAAGAATAAATACAGTACACAGCTGTACAGAATAGAAT